CTTTTTTCAGTCTTTTACATTATCCTCAGAAATGTCAGTCATTGAATTCAGTGGTTATTTTAGGTGTGTTAACTTAAGTGTGTTCACTCTAAGCACCCATATTTCCTTTGGATGCTTGACTGTTCAAGCTCCAAATGGTATCTCTAAGACTAGAAATACTTCTATGGGAAAATTTGTTTATATTATCAAGCACTTACCAATAAGGCTACAACCCTAGCCTAAAATAGGACTTACTTCGAAGTAAACATGGCATTTGGACTGTGTAATGATTGAGGAATAGCTAGAACAAATGTCTTAAACTAATAGCACTACAGAAACATAAATTACACAGTGAAATACTGTATTTGAATTTAAAACTTCCATTCAGTATTTTTAAAAAGATGAATACTTGTAATTCAAAGTGATGACTTAATTCATAGCTGGTATTTTGTTGGTAAATGCAAAAGAGCATTTCATCAGTCTTTAAAGTTATGAAACTGTAATTGTTTAAAAATATTTGCAAGAGAGAGGATTTGTAATATTATATATCAGAGCATCTTTGCCAAAGATACAAAACAGTTGTTACATACAAAAATGCTGAAAAACAATGAACAAATTTGCTAAATCCAGATAAGACAATCTTGTGGATAGGTAATTACTCAGTATGAAGATTCAAATTGTTTTGGTGGGGACTTCACTCTGAGAGATCAGGTTCCTAACTTCAGGTGTTTTGGGATACACTATAACTGACTTTAGATATATAACTTGGTTGCAATGATACACATTCCCATAGTCTCATGTATGGACAAATGGAATCCAATCTCTATGGGGCTGCTCCAGAAATTGTAGCTGATGTTAATGAGACTTTTAATAAGGATTAGATGGTTGACCTGTGCTTAAGCAGTCATACCTCACTTGTACTACATGCCACTTCATTTTTACAGTTCTGGTTTTGATGCTAGGGCTCTTCAGTTTGGGATCTGTGGGACTGCTTCCTCCTACATGTGTTCCCCAGAGTACCTCTAGAAAGGTTTTTTGTGGTGGTTCTGAGATTATAGAATACTTTCCACAGAGAAGATCATTTGGAACTAACTTTGCTTTCCCCCCCTTTATTGGGTTAAATGTCTTAATATTCTTGGGCTTTTAAAATAGTTGCTAGCTTTTTTGCTCTAGTATGCTGGCAGTTTAACATTCTTGGCCAATTTAACTTGGCAGTTTTTTAATGTATTTTAAGAAGGTGGGTTCTTATATTTTTACCATATGAGCTTTGTATATACTTTGTAGTTTAATTATATCAAATCTTAATGTCTTTGTATTATTTTAAATGCCACTTACATATTGATATGTTGATACTTCTGTTTCTATTTGCGATGTATTTATTTATAGTTTTTATTTTATATGGGCAAATTTTATATAAGCCACTTAGAATCACTAGTCAAGGAGACATATACATACATGTAAATGAATAAATAAATATTTGAGTAGATTTTTTTATAAGATCTTACAACTGGTAAGGCCTAAAAGTTCTTATGAACACAAATAATAAAATGTATGCAGTATTTCAGTCAGAAATATGGAAGTGAAGATAATTTGACAGAGGATAAAAGCAACACTTCTTTTAACATATGGAAATACTTTCCTGACTTTGATTATTCTTTTTCCTACTGACAATTTTAGCTAAAAGGCAACTGATAAATTATAGAAATACATACAACACTTACTAGGCAGCATTTTATAGGTGTTTGGTGCATGATCAAGAAAGTCAGCAACTTAAGCTAAACGCTATTTTCAGATGCACAACTTTTAACATACTTCAGGCAGATACACTTTGTGTATTTCTTGGAAGCATACAAAAACCAGATAGACCCTCAAGAGTCAATCACATTTAAGGATACATTAACGATGCATGAAACAAAAGCTAGTTTTGTTTCAGGAGAGATTTGAATAGTTTATTTTGCCCAGTCAGAGCCCTTCAGCATAATGACACATTCATATACACATATGAACATTGTTTTCTGAAACATTAATGTATAATATACATTTTCCCCTTTTTAAAATACCAACTCACAGGTATTTTTATTTACAAAAATATCCCATACTTAATTTTAATGTTATGACATAGTTTAGAATCAAGTACATTAAGTAAAATTATGCAATCTAACATTTCCATTTGTAATGGTATGGTTTACCGTTCATATGAAACTAAGTTTGTAGACGGATGAATCTTCAACCCTATCCTAAAATGCATTTCCCAGTTTCATCATCAGAACACACAGTGGGGCTCCGCAAGACTAAAATGGTAGAGGACAATAAAATAAAAATAAAACGAAATACACAATGTACAGAGAGCAAAATACATTTAAGCTAGAAGCTTTGTATCAAGCATGCTTTCCCAATGAATAATGGTAGAATCATTTACTGATATTCTTCCCTTTTTTCTTCAGTGGTGCTTGCTTAATGAAACAGAAGCAATACTAGAAAGCAGAGTGTTCTTCCTAGAGCTAACCAATATGAATAGCAGCATATGAGTTTAAGTAACTCAAGTACAGTTTATTTACACATTTTTTAAAAGGAGAGTTAACATTCAGTTTTTCCAGTTTGCAACACCCAATATCAAATAATAACTCCATGGATGATGCCATGATTTTATCCAAAAATCAGACTAATCTGTAAAAATGTAAAGGTCAAGAAGAAACATATAGTTGCTCGACATTTAGAAATACTAATTTCTAAATGCATTTATGAAAAATGCTAATACAGATTAAGTTGCATTTTGATTTCTATAACCAAACTATTCCTCAAATTAGTTTGAAAATTAAAAAGCACACTGATCTCTGGATTTCAAACAAACATGATTTACATAGGAAACATATTCATGCACTCCTGATTTGATTCTCAATGTACATTAAGCAGTTTTTAAGTTCAGGTAATTCACATGTACTGGACATTAGCTGTTTACCATCCACCACCCCCAACCATAAAATTCATTTAACAGGATCTTTATTTTTGGTAGCAACATCACTAACATTCACAAGGAGAAAAAGAAATTCACAATACTGTACAGATAAATATCTAGACTATGGGAGCAAGTGCAGCTGAGAATTTGCACAATAAACGAAGGCAAGCAATTAGTACTTTTCAGTCATTAGGCACACCACAACTAGTGCAGTCATATCTCCATCTCTATGCATCAGAGCACTAACAAAATGGAATGATTTACCAACCACAGGAATACGCATTTAAAAAAACATTTTGAAGACAAATATAATGAATACAAAATATGGAAAAAACAGTATTTCAGAATACAAAAGGAAAATTGTAGCTGACCAAAGTAAAACAGAATAAATGGAATTCAGTTTTAATATTTGGAATTTTATTTTAAAAGGCTGACTGATGACTCCACCCCACCTCCCAGAAAATTCTAGTTTCATATATATATATATGTATGTATGTATATATATATATATATATATATATGTGTGTGTGTGTGTGTGTGTGTGTGTGTGTGTGTGTG